TTCATGGGGTCACGAAGAGTCGGACACGACTTAACGACTAAACAACAACAACAACAGCCCACAAAGAAATTAGCAGTCCAAGGATGATAATAGCAAAGGTATCCATGGTGACCTTGATAGTGAAAGACTTAGTTCAGAGCAGTCAAAGGTTCAAGATCCATAAAGTTCCTTACTAATGGTCAGGATTCTGTGACAGGAACACAATGTATAACAAATTTAGCAAGATGTAAACTTTAAAGATTTACACATTAAAATTGTTCTAACTGTTCTGTTTTTAAAAGGTGTTGTTAGGCATGGACAAAGACTTGAAGTTAGCAGGAAGGCAGAAATGCTTTGGGCATGAGAATTTATGCAAGGCCAGGCTATCACAAAAGTAGTTCCTATGCCTGGTTTTTCTCAGACAGAAAGTGTATATTGGAACTTAAAGAATATATAGTATGTATACTAGATGCTTGGATCTCTATCTGAGCACTGATGGGGCTAGTCAGCTCTTGACTGTAAAAACTGAGGTATTCTGGAGTAGCAACATATGAGGGTGTCCTGCCTAACATGCTGTAACACAACCTGATGTTTTTTTGTATCTGTCTGGCTTTGGTGTCACAGTAACAATGTGCTTGCAGATTAGGTGCTCAGTATCCGTAGATGAAATGTCAGCAGCAACAGTAGGTCATGTTGTGCTATGCCTCTAATGCTAAGATCTGGTTCCTCTGAATCAGATTTGCCTCAACCTCTTCCTCCTTTTTCCTTTGCTGTATAATAAAAATCTAATAATTATGTTGCACCTCATAAGAATCCCAACAAATACCACCAATCATATGGGCAGTGCCTTGGCCATGAAATGTTGTCAGTTTTACTTTAAGGGTAAATACAATTGGACCTAACCAAATGGATTACAGTAATATTAAAATGAATCCCCTGTTTGCCCTACATCTTATGTCAGTATAGGACAAGATGCACATAAGCAGATGTGGAAATGTGGCTGGCTGATGCATGTTATAGGGCATTTTCCAGCCCAAATGCTTCTAGAATTGAAAATTGATTTATTTTGAGATAATTCTAAATGTATAAGAAAATAATATTTAGGTGTTCAGTCTAAACAGTGATATTTATTTATTTATTTATTTATTTATTTATTTATTTATTTATTTATTTATTTGAATATTTTTATTCTGCCAAAAACACATGGACTTCTGGTAGCTTACAACATATCCATGAAACCCATAAACCCACACCTTTATATGGATACTGTGATAATTACATATATTTACAATTACTCTGCAAACTTCTATATATTAAGGGGGAAATGTATAGCAAATTTAGCAAGATATAAACATTAAATATTTACAAATTAAAACAATTCCAACTGTTCTGTTTTTTAAAAGGTAACTTTTGAAATACATAAACAGAACCTTTCTCGGATGTTCAGGGAATATGAAGAGAAAGGAGATGAAGGCTGCAATGTTGGTCCATCATCCATTCTTAGAACTGTCTCAGGTGTTAGTAAAGATGCTGAAGTTACAGAGAAGCTCCATCATCTTGAAATAAAAGAAATTGATATTTCTACAGCTGATGTTAACAACAGTAGCATGAAAAACAGGGTTTTGAGAGATGAAAGTAGATTATCTGATTCTGAAGAACACAGTAATTCAGAAACAAGGAAAGAAAAAACCAATATAGAAAATGCTCAGAAAACTCCTGATTTAAATAAAGCACCTGGTTTAGATCTTCCTCTACAAGCTCCAGTGACAAAACAGAGTTCAGAATCTACTGCTGAAATTACTGGAATAAACCATGAGGAAAAAGAAGTAACTGCCACTGATGCACAATTACCTTTAGAAAACGTTGCTGAAGAAACACTAGAAAGCCCAGAAATTTTAGAAAATGTAACACCAGAAGTATATGTGGAAGAGGATGAAGATTTTGTTGATTTAAAAGAGGAGACTAATCTGGCACTTACATCAGAAGAATGTGCTCCAAAACCCATTGAGGAACATGCTGCTTCTTCAAAAGGACCTGTTTCAATAGATGTACCTAAAATTGTTGAAGGATCAGCGGAAACAGAACAGCAGGATTGCTTGCCAGAAATCAGTGGTCCTGAAATAAACAGAGCTCAGTCAAACTCAGACACTGAGAATAACATTGATGACAAAAATACTAATCAACCTGAAACCAAGACAATTGTAGATAACACGCAACCACAGACTTCAGAAACATTAATTGCTTCAGATAAGAAAATTGCCAGACTTGATGTTTCCAGCATTGCATCAGATACTGAAAGATTAGAATTAAAACCCCATGCAAATCCAGAAGTAAATCAGCCTCCTGGAACCATTCCTGAGGTAGGTTTTGCATTTTGCATCCTATCTATTTAAGTAATTTAAAAATGTTTACCAGCTAGCATAATTGTGTGTGTGTGTGTGTGTGTGAGAGAGAGAGAGAGAGAGAGAATGTCTAACTTTTTATTGCAATTATAGTTAATAATGCTAATAGATTTGTAAAGTGATCTAGATCAGTTAGGTGGTTTAACTGCAAATATTATACACCTGAGAATAAAGTGTCACATAATTTTCTGTATAATTTTTTAAAAATAATTTAAAGCTAGAATGTATTTAAGATGTGCATCACTTATGCATTATTCCTAATTAAAGTGATGTACCTAAGTGCTTCCCTCCTGCAGAAATACCTTCCAATGGATAACCATCAAGTTACATCACACTTCCTCAAAGGAGGAAAATCACAGGCAGCAGCAATATATGCACCCTATGTGGTAAGGTCTAGCTGCTGCTTATTCTTACCTTGGCTGGCAGAGATGGTGGCATAGTTGCTAAGTAGTATATAGAATTGGTATAATTGCTTGCCATTTTATAAGCATAATCCTCAAATAATCATGACTTTGTAAAATTAGTATCAACTATATCATACCTTTTAGACTAAGAACAGCTTTTCCTGGAATTAGATACTTGCTAAGGCTGAGATGATATTTTCAATTTGATCTTCAGCTTGACTTACATATATATATATATATTGTTTGCAAAGACATCTAGGCAATATGATTCATCGGATCAAAATGTAGTAACTGCTGCAGATGGGCAGAGAAGGGATTCTAGATCTACCATGTTCCGTATCCCTGAATTCCGATGGTCTCAAATGCATCAGCGCTTGCTTACAGATCTGCTCTTTTCAATAGAAACAGATGTACAGATGTGGAGAAGGTAATGTCATCTATGAAATCTTAGGCAGTTTACATAGGATAAGCAAAATCTGTAAAACTATATCCTAATTAGAAAAAATAAGTTGAATTATATTTTAAATGGTTAAACTGTAAAATATAACTGAGTTGTCAAACTTGAATTGGAGCCTTGCATGACTAAGTTGCATATTAGCATCTTTTGAAATGCTGCTCATGCCAATTTGCTTTTTTTTTTTTTAAGTGTCCCTCGGTTGAATTCTGTTTTCTTATAGTACAAGGATTGTTTAGGATCAAGAACTGCATTGCATAAAAAGTATACTCTTTCTACATGTTTTTTTTCCCCTTGTGGTTTTGCTTGACTTGAACAGAAAAATAATGCCTCTCCAAAACCAAGCCAACTCTGTAAGCTGTTTTTTCTTTCAACCTGTTCTACCGCTCTGGTGCTTTACTGAAACTCTGTGGTTGCTTTTTTAAAATAAGCTTCAGCAGCATTCAGAATTACTAAAAAGAAGTTGCCTTCTACAAGAGGTTCCCTTGAGCATAAGGGTGTTATCTAAAAAGCAGAATCAAATATTAGAAAATGATTTTGTGCAGTATAGGAATGAACAGAAAGGATTATTGCCTAACTGTCCAATTTCAACTTACCCAGCTCATCAGTTTTAGTCTATCGATCAACCAAATTGAAAATGTACTAAAGCACATATGCAATGAATACTTTGGTGAAAGCCCAAGCAATAGAAGGAACCTATTGCATTTATTTGTTGTAACAGGAATTGAATTTCTTAATGCTTTCTATTTTTAAAATTCTTTTTTGCTTAGAAAGAGAAGTGTGCGACATCTTTGTAAGATACAAGTTTCCTCTTATGAGACCTGAATTCAGATCTTGTTTATATTTCAAGGGAAATTTATTCTGATGATTTATACAGTGTCTTTTGCTGCATTAGATAAGCAGAGTTCATAATAATAAATAATTATTCACCACACACTTAGGCACAGTTTCCAGTCTGTGTTCTGGAGAGGATTAGAAGGATAAGGAGAGGGCATTTTCAGGTCAAGATGAAGGTGTATTGGCAGTTTAGGATGCTGATATGTGATTCTTGGCTGCAGGAGAAATTTTTGGTTGATGTAAGTAAATAATACTGCAATAAATAAGTACTTTATAACACTGCAACAGAAATTACATGTAACCTGTGTATTTTATTTTGGAGCAGTCATTCTACCAAGACTGTGATGGACTTTGTGAATAGCAGTGATAATGTCATCTTTGTACATAACACAATTCATCTCATCTCTCAAGTGATGGATAATATGATTATGGCTTGCGGTGGCATATTACCTTTGCTTTCGGCTGCTACATCTGCTACAGTAAGAAATTCAGTTTCCAATACATAAGTGTGGCTTTGTGTGCCTTTCTTTGTGCATTGAATTATACTAAACTAAGAATTATGCTCAGGTATGTTCGCTTATGGCTCTGCTGGGAGAGAGAAGGGGAATTGTTCTGTGAGCTAGCACTAAAAAGCTGAATTATATGATATGGACTTCATTTTGCCTTGTTTCACATTGTGTCAAAAGGGATAAATGACAATACTCTCTCTGATCCGATGTAAGTTAATTGAAGATGAGATACTTGGAATAAGTCTCTTTCCTTCCCTTCCTTGCCCAAATGTGCTCTCCTTCTTAATCTGATGTTCTGTGGTATCACCAGGGGCATATGTAAGGAGGGCAAAAGAGCAAGATGGCAGTTGCAAGCATGTGATTGAAGCACTGGCCATTTGTATTTGCATAATATCAACTGATAACATCAGCCTGTGCATATTGCTGCTTCCAAGACTAGGAAACAATTTTTGAATGGGTTACCAGAGGGAAGTGGTATCCTATTTGTGTGTTCTGTACTTCTAATTATTTTGCTGTGAAAGTCTCATCATAAATGCAACTTTTGCTTTGCTCATGAAGTCTACCATAGAAGAAAGTAATTTGGAGCATTTCATAATTAGTTTAAGGCATGATTCACCAATTTTTTTGGTCTAGATTGCCAGTTAAGCAATAATATACAGTATTATACAGCTTCTTCATGCACCTTTACCCTCATATGTTATCCCTTTCCCTCATTCTCAAAAGTCCTATAGGGACACCATGACTTTAATGTAGTTCCTTTTCCTATATATAACAGGACATCATGACTGTCAGCTCAAAACAATAGAAACAACAAGCATATGTGATGTGCTGTAACAAATTTCTTTTCTGGGGAATAGGCAATCACTGTAGGAATTCAGAGGGTTTTGGAAGTGGCTGACATGAAACTTTTGTATCCAGAAGAAGGTTAAAGGGAACAAGATTATCACTGTGCTGTTGTTATGTTTCCATAACCATTTTTTATTTCCCAAGAATGTGTTGATCCTTGTTCACTGAACTACCCATTTTTTGGGAAATTACAACCAGGTTCTCACCTATAGGCGCCCCATATTTTGTGCAATTTTGCTCTCACATTTGTCCATTTTATTTCAGACCTTTCTCTGTAGTACTTTAAAGTTTGTTTTTTATGGTATCTAAATAATCAAGTTTAGTTAATGTTATACCTATTTCATAGAACCAGTTGTGGATTTATTTGAAACAGTACTCTTTTATATTATTTATTAGAACAAAATACTCTGTTTTTAACTATGAAATATTAAGATTACAGCAACTTTAAAAAAATCAGTACAACAGAAAAAATATAGGTAGACAACATCAATTAAGCATTGGGAAAAGAAGCAGTTAACTGTAAAAATACTAAGAATTATTAACATCTTTAGTTGACTTTTAGCAGAATATGCACCAAATGAATATGAGCAAATATGTTACTGTTGAACAATTCTCCTCAGTCATTATCTACCTAATTTCTTAAAATGGGGAAATTAGAGAAGGCATCCTGTTCCATTAATAATTACTTGGAACCAATGTTCATTATGCATATTGTCATTATATCTTAGATTGTTGGACAAATAAGTTGAGACATTTCAAACATCAATTCCATGTATACAGGTAGTCGTCATTTAGCAACCATAACTGGGACCAGCAACTTGGTGACTAAGTGATGTGGCTGCTAAGTGGAAAATCACATGACCATGACTGCTTACAATTTTACTTCGGGTTTCCTTTCCCCCCTACTCCCCATCCTTTGGAATGCTCACATCAGTGCTGGGATAATTAGCAAGAAGAGAATTAATGTTTGTATTTACATTTGTTGGAGAGGAAGGAATTACAAGAAAATAAGCAGGCACACAATGGGGAATACACATTGAAAGGAATGCACTAGCCTGGCTGTTTTCCTAGTGCGCTTGGGGCTCCAAGCCCCAAGTTACTTAGGAGGCAAACAAAAGCCAAAGGTGTGAAAGTGATTAAAGTCTTATCAGTTACAGGCAGCAGCTACCAGCCAGCTAATTAAGGTCACAGAGCTGAGCTTGTTAACTTGTGGTTAGCACCTTTTGAGAATGCTGCACTGTGGAGAAAAGCAGCTGTGGAAGAGATTGCTTGTTTAGGCAATCTCTCTGCTCTGCGAGGCGGGGAGAGAAGAAAAAATAGGACAACACGCACTAACTGACTGTAATGGCGAACAAGTAACAGAGATGCTGCAGAGGTCATAAATGTGGTCATTGGTTGCAAAGGTACTTTTTCATTATCGTTGTAACTTCAAGTGGTTGCTGCCTGAGGCAGTCACTGAGTGAGGTCTATTTGTACACACATCCAGAATACACATTGGATTATGGTAATTTAGGAAAGTACATGGAAATAAAAAATGTTTTCAATTTTCTAGCATGAACTGGAAAGCATTGAGCCAACTCAAGGACTGTCAGTGGAAGCTTCCGTAACATTCCTTCAAAGGTTAATTAGCCTTGTGGATGTATTAATCTTTGCAAGTTCCCTTGGATTTACTGAAATTGAGTCAGAGAAAAATATGTCATCTGGTGGAATTTTACGACAGTGTCTTCGACTTGGTAAGTAAATAGTTGTCTAGCATTGAAATGTTTTGAGTCTTAGATAAATTATCTTAAATATATTCAAACCTGTCATCAAACTTACCATGCCCCTCTTCCTATCCAGAGATTTGGAGGCCATTTATAAAAAAAGGCTAATTGGAGAAAGAAGCATCATCTAAACTTAAATAAATTCCAAATTCTTTATTTTGAGACTATAGTATGATTTGAAACCAAAGGCAAGAGAGATGATAATAGGGTGATTTAGTTTAGATTTTTATGCAAATTTAAAGACGTCAACCTATGGTCCGTAAAATCTAATATATGCAAGCACACACATACATAAGGATCCAGGAACTCTTAATTAGAATTATATATTATCTCATCTTATGATGAAGGTTTACAGAATATGGGTAAAACATTTTGGTTCATTCTATGGATAAGATTATTAAATGTGTTTTCCAGTGGAGGAAAATCGGAGGAAATTGGCATAGTGATCACTTCTTCCACATTATATTTAAGAATGACAAGATAATATGCATGTTAGGCTTAATCCAAATTAACCTTGTATAGCCAGAAAGGACTAAGATCCAACAAATAGGCGGGTAGGAAGGGGAGGGGAGTGGAGAGGGAGGGAGGCAGGCAGGCAGGCAGGCGAGGCAATTTTTCAGAAATTCTCCCTATAGGCTTCAATGTTACCATCTCCCATTCTGTGTTAAAGAATTCTCCAAACATTGGTAGAAGTTTTATAATAGGCATAATGTCCTACAGAGTGGAAAAGAAATTATTTCTTCTTTCTAGAAGGAATTGGAAATTCTTGAATCTTATGTGCAAAACATTCTAGAATAGCCAATCACAATGTTCTAGGGATGTTTCATGTATTTCTGCAGGTAGATGGTTCAGAGTCATGTCATGCTCTAGATGCTTCATGACAATATTATGTCTATAACATCAGAAACTGCTTTTGGCCTGAACAATCCAGTCCAAAAATAGATGATTCCACCTTGGAATATTGTGGAGGTAAATGGGGCATTTCTGGAATCATTTTGCAGCAACACTGAATGTTTGGCGCATCTCACTGTGATTAAAAAAAAAGAAAAGTGAAATGTCACACAAACTGAAAAATATTAAAATATCTCAATAAATTTTTTTTTTTTTTTTAAAAACCCTTAATTGTCCTTTGGATTATAAACCAAATACTACTTGTTATGAGTTGTATGCCTTTATCTTTAGGTTAGTTACGTTTACTTGTGGGTTGCAGTCCCTAAAATATATCCTTTCATTTTAGTATGCGCAGTAGCTGTCAGAAATTGTTTGGAATGTCAGCAGCAGCATGTATTAATGAAGGCTGGTGGAGAAAATGTTAAGCATCAGAAAACAATACAAAGCCTTATAGCAGCAGGAAGGACTGGAGCAAAGGCAAGTGTTTTTTTTAAATCAATGCAGGCAAATGTTGATTTTTTTCTCTATAACCTGATGAAAAAGTTTATGTGGCTTTTTTATACTAAGTAGTCATTAGAGACACAAGTATGGTTCTTTAATTACATGAACATTTATGGTAAGTTGTATATATAACAGTTCCATATACAAATGCTGTCACTTTTCAGGAAGAAAGATGTACTAAATATAAGTCCTAAATACTTCTAGCTATTTTCCACAGTTTTATTTTATATTTCAAACCCTGTATAAATGTTTTCAAAACCTATGATGCAACTGATTTTTCATCAGGTATAGATGTGATAGTTTTACAGTGCTTTTCAAAATTAAAAAAAATACTCTGTTTTCTTTTGAACAGAGTCCAGTGGATATTGTGACTGGAGGGATTTCTCCAATAAGAGATATTGACAGACTTCTACAGGATATGGATATTAATCGGCTCCGTGCAGTGGTATTCAGAGATATAGTGAGTAAATTTTCCTACTTAACTGCTTTTTTTTTTTTAAAAAAAAGTATAGTTATTAACCTTATGTAGCATCCCATGGTACCAAAATCTAAGTGTGTCTACAAGAATTGTAAAATACTCTGTGAATAGCAAATCAGGAATTGGGGTCATATGAAAGGCTTAAGATCATATTAACAGTTGTTCCTGCAGGTGGTTTCAATTTTATAAATACTACTCTTTCTTTGTTTCTTGGAATGTGAATGTATTAAAGAGTTATATAGCCAGAATGTTTTCACTGTGTTCCTAGAGTAGTTCAACCATCAGTTCAGCCCAAGCTCTTTCCATTTACTCAACAGGACTGAAATAAGTCCAAATAATTTATAGCATGTAGCCAGACATATCAATAAAATGGGATAGAAGAATTCTGAAGGTGCAGATTTTTTACTCATTCATATATAAAACTAGAATAATATCCAATACCTAGATTAGAATTTTTCTTCATGGGGGGAAGTCTTCTGTGTAACAGAACATTCAAAATTATGAAACAAAATGTTCTGCTACTTTATCTACATATGCTATTAGCAAAGATCAGGATTTTGTGCGCACAAAATATAAATAATAATAAAATGAATAAAATGCAGAGCCAATTGGTCTAGTGGTTAAGGCTCCAGGCTAGAAACCATGAGACTGTGAGTTCTACTCCCATCTTAGGGGTGAAATCTGGCTGGGTGACTTTGAGCCAGTCATTCTCTCTCAGCCCACAATGTCAGGCTTGGGTGACAAGCCGGTCGGTCAGTTCCTCTCACAGCCAATGGATAAACATTCAGTTAATCCAAAAAAAAATGGACCCTCCGTCTGCATAAAAACGCTAAGAAGGAAAAAAATTAAATTAATAAAATGCGGAGTGTTCTAGACATACTTCAGCAGATTATAAAAGTGCTCCTCTAAACTCCACTGCTATCAATGATGTGGCATCATGTTCTTCTGAAGAATCTAGGGACGTCTCTACTTATTTTTGGCAGCAGCCCTGAATAAAGAGTCTTCTGTGCTTACATACTCATGCTAAGGCATTGTGGGGAGCTCTTTGAAACAGATGCAGTAAGCTGTTTTAAAGATATGCGGCACCCTGATGTCTTGAGCAGCAGATTTGAAGGGATATTTTGCTTTCCAAAGCATCACTCTAAGTGATTCACACAGCCCTAATAAATAAATCCCAGTAGAATTTTTTTCTGTAGTTTACTTGAGGAAATTATTTTGTGGCAGTTGTGTGTAATATAGGCCATAGTGTAATATGATAAAATAATTGTTTTGTTTTTTCAGGAGGACAGTAAGCAGGCACAGTTCTTGGCTTTGGCTGTAGTATATTTTATCTCTGTACTCATGGTATCAAAATACAGAGATATCTTGGAACCGCAGGATGAACGGAGACAAGTTCAACCTGCTCAGTCACCCAAAATAGGTTAGTAATTTAGGCTACTTACCTGGAAATAAGAATTATTTATCAGAGTGGGAAAGCCGTAAAATTAAAAATCTCAGCAACTTTAAGACATGTGACTTCAATTCCTAGAATTCTTAGCATTTGCCGAGCTAAGTGGAGAATACAAACTGGGAGTTGAAGTCCACACATCTTAAACTTGCTGAGGTTGGGAAATTCTGTTATAAATCATGGACTGGGAACAGGCCATGTAGATCATGTACTGCAAACTACTGTTCAGTAAATACATCCAAATTACAGCATATGTTTGACAGATTTATAGGATTGTGCTATTCATTTATATTATTTGGGTGCATAATGGTGAATATTTTTTATTTTTAGATTAGGTTCTATTCAAAATAATCTTTGTCAACATTCTGGATAATTCACTGACTTGTTCACATGGCCTATGATACCAGTTTTGATTATGAAAAATTAGATTAATAACAGACACGTTCATATAATGTATACTTTAAAATATATGAATTGAAGGATTTATTACATTTAATCTGCTGCTTGAAAATTTATGTTATTTTTTTTTTTCCTGATTACTACTTTTAAATATGGAGGTAGTTTACTAGCCCTGAGCGGTTCTTGGAACCAATCATTAAAAATTTATTTTTCAAAACAAGATTTGCTTACTGCCCAGAACATTATTTTTTAATATTTAGTTAGTTTTATATAAGCTTAATAGGTAAAAAAAATCATATTAATAATAAACATAAAATAGGATTAATGTCCTTCAGAAGTTAATTGGATGATACTTTATGTTAATACATTGATATAAATTAAAATAACATTTTAAGAAAGGCCGTCTAAGTCCAAATGCAACAATGTATTTAGCTGAGGGATAAATTGATCATGTCAAATAAATAAATAGCTGGGAATAGAGAAGTTTGTGCATTGATTTACTAATAGGTAAAGAGTCCTGCCGTTTTTGCTTGTATGACTTGTACTGATTGGAAAGTTCAAAGTTGCAAAGTTCCAGATAACTACTTTATGGCAGGAAAGAGATATAGAAGCCATCTACTTTCTTTCTAGATAGGTTGGTTCTACTGGAAATTAACATTAAAAGAATAGCAAAATTGGACTGGATCTGGAGCTAGTTTCCACCAGCAACAGCAGGCCATGATATTCTATACATTATAACCTTATTTGTTTTCTGGATTCACTATGTTCTTGTTTGACAAGCTGTAGTCTGTCTACCCAACCAGTTCCTTTTCAGCCCTAATATCTGATGACTAAGTGAAAAGACCTCATAAGTACTATAAATACATTGCAAGTTTAATTAGTCTAGCATAGAATCAAATTAGCATTCTCAGTTATGGTAACCTCTAGTATTGTCTCTATGATGAATTAAGAATGGGAAATTTTAAGAGTACGTATTCATTTTAATTTATATTAAGACAGCATTTCTTTATAAAATGATCTTATTACTTTTAAGGTAATTCTGATATTTTATACTATGCCTTATATATCTCTCAAGATGAGGAAAAACGACCTGAAACTATTAGCACTTTAAGTCGGGAACCTGCTGAGGAGTCAGAAAGTGTGATGTCTCCGCAAAGAAGGGATTCAGGAATTGAGGAGGAAGCACGTTCTGGATCAGGACCCAATTCTGAGGTGGTTATTGAACCAGAAAAACAGAGTATAAGTACTGGTCCAGATGCAATCAGTGAAATATTGTGTACACTTTCTTCAGAAGTTAATATATCTCAAGAAAACAGAAATGAAGTACATAGTGAGGTAGACGGTAAAATTGCATCTTCTGTGCAAACTGCAAAAAACGTCAATGTGAAAGACATCCTAAGAAGTTTGGTCAGTGCTCCTGCAGATGGGGCCACTGTGGACCCTACTGTTCTTCCACCTGTCTTTCTTGGAGTCCTTGGTGATGGGGCTGCTGCACAACCAATACAATTTCAGTCTTTTGACAGGTAAGGATGATTAAACCTTGATCTATATAAAATGGTTTATAAAATAAGATTTTTTAAAAGAATTCTTTTAGTATTTTACTTAAAAATGCATACATGTAAGTATAATTCTGCTCTGAATAAATCTAAAAGTATAATAATGTAAAGATAAAACACATAAAAGTGTTTTAAAGTATGACATTAATTTGAAATATGTGTTGCATGGTGAAAACTATTTAAAAAATAATTTTAGAATCCAAATCTCCAAGGTATACTTAAGAAACAATTGATTTGACAACTTTTAAGTAAAACAATAAGAAGAATAACATGGTAAAATCAGTTGGATTGAGATTCATATTGTGATGTTGAATGCAAATAATTTAGCCATGGTGGTAAAAAGTTGAGCTAGAGAAAATAAACGTTTTAAAAAAGCAAGCTTTTTTAGATCAAAAAAGGGAAAGTCAGCATCAGTTCCTTTTTTTTCAGGATTGCTTTGTGATGTGTTGAAAACTTTTTGCATTGCAGAGAACAAGTACACAACATAAAAGCATAAGTTAAAATATGTATTGTTGCTGTTTTAAGGGGACAAAATAATGGACATGAAGGATAGTATAGTTTCTTTCTGCGAGACTGACAGAAATGAATTAGTTTTGATGCCTCATGGCAAGGCGCGTACTTTCATAACTTTTTTTAAATAATAGAGTATTATTGAAACATATATAGTTAGTAAGGAAGAACTGCAAGAGCAGGAATTTCATAAGAAGGTGTATGCATCCCTGGGTCGGAAACTTTCCATATGATGAATAGTTATATTAGTCAGGTGAATTTTAATGCCCCTTAGAGCTATACCATAGCCTAGACATTCTGTTTAATGTTTAGTGTATATTTTTAGTTAGCATCTAAGACTGTTAATTCCTTAAGCCTCTTTGCCACCTCATATAGTCTGTGGTTTGTATTAATAAGTTAATGTAATAGATAAGTTACTATTGTATTGTCTCAGTGACTAAATATAATGAATTTACTGTTCTACAGGCAGTGTTTGTGAAAGAAAAAAAATGAACATAAAACAAAAATATCTTTGCATGACTGAATTTTTTTTTTAATGCTTCATTTCTCTATTTTATTCTATTCATTCAAGCTAAAATCAGCCACCTTTAGGTTCCATTTAAATAAACTATATCTATATGGCTTTGTATTGGTATATGATTTTGCTTACTAAACTTTTAAATTTACAATTATTAGGCAGGTTAGAGAAAGTGATCAAAAATAATTTGAATGCATTTGTGAATACAGAATATAATGTTGCTGTATTAAAGGGACAAAAACTAAAACCAGTATTCGTAAAATTTTCTAGTGGTCTAAAGACTTTAACATGTGGTGAAACCTTGTCCCATCTTCTGCTCCCATTTTATTCCAGATTATATATAAGTGTGCTATAGTTTTGGGATGACTGTGGATAGAATGGGTTATAACCTGTTGTTCAGGAAACGAGCTACATTTTAAAAAGGTTTTTATCTCCAGAGACACTACGATACTAACATTACAGTTTGAAACTTGGCGCAAGCTGGCCTCAGGATGCTCTAAGGAACTTAGTGTGCCTGGTTTATATTTAATGTAAAGTATATTTAATTGTCTATTGTGGAACACAGGGCTTTGTGAATTAATTTTTGGGGTTGGGGGGAAAAGACACCTTATTAACAGTTTTTCCTATGTAGCCAGTTTTACAGAAAAGTATCTCTGGGAATTTCAAAGCATCTCTCTGATCCTACATTTATCTCAGGAATGTTGTGTCAGAAATCAAAACTCTCCTCATATTTTAAGGATTATCAACTTTTCAGCTATAGCTGGAGAGTATACAGTAACAGCTACGTGAGTGAGACCTAGCTGAAAGGCTGCCAGGTTGTGGATTTTTGCAAACAAGAAGGTGATGTGTGCTCATTCCCATACCCAAAGCTACTCTTTTATCTTACATGGAGATTCAATCTGGTGATTAGTGGGTGCCAGGGATTTATCTTGATAAAAGTTCAAGGCCTGGTCTGGTTTTTTCATTAAGGAAGTAGAAACACTGAATTGGCAGACTGTTTGCAATATTTATTCTCTATAATCTTCCTGGAGCAAAAATAGTACTTTATTTTTTTTTATTATAAAAATGTTGGAAACTATCTAAAGTTCTGATGAATAAAATATATTAAATTAAGCAAAAAATTATCTGTGGTTTAGCTATTAAAAATCTGATATTGCGTTTTTCAGTAAAAGTAAAAGATGAGTAATAGAAATAGTTGTTCTTTGCAGTAAAAACTAGTTTTGAAGGCAAACATTTTCCTATTTTAAGGTATTTTAGGTTTTTGTAATGTAATGTAATGCATGTATGTAATGTAATGTAATGCATGTATGTTAACATGCATATCCATTTATCCTTATAATACATGAAATCATTCAGTCTCAAATATTTAAATTAATTGAATTATGAGAATGTATTTTTGTTATTTCAATAGTCATCAGTTTTGGGTTGGAGAAACAGATAAATAATGTAGACGCTGCAAATGTTTTAATCATTGGCTTAAAAATGTATTGAATTGTTTAGTTTTAAAATAATTTTAGAGACCTATACAAAGGAGGCACCATTATTTTTTTAATTAGTAAAGTAATAATCAATCCATCTCATATTATTGCATCTGTTTTCTTCAATTCTTAGGAACTGAATTAATTTTCAGTACAGTATTGATCTTGCACCTTCAAACAGGCTAGCCTCAAAATGAAATTACCTATTCCAGGAATGACTTCAACTGTTACATATATCATGCAAACACAGATATATACACAGAGTCACTTTTTTAATGTAATCATAATGTGTATTAGATTTTTGTATGTAACAGGCACAGAAAGATGTAACTTCTGTAAGAATTTTTCAGAGCAAAGTAAAAGGTCAAATTCCAGGGGCTCTTTAATCAATAACCCATGCAAATTTATGCAGAACTGTTTCTCTGTGTTTTGTCTCTAAGTTTCACCTGTACCCTGAGGACTCTTTTAGACCCTATGGATATGTGGTTTACGATGCCTGTGTCATATTGCCTCTCACCGCTGGATGCTCGCACTAAAAAGGGTTTTTCTGTCTCCTGTATTCATCAATATGGAGGGATATCCTTCAAATTCATATTGTATATCAATTGCTTCCCAAGTAGTTGGACTGACATACTGGTTTTCATTACAAGGAATTTTGAAGCAGTCTACAAAAGAGCTGTTTCTCTCATACAGTGATGCTTAAAGGTTTGTAAACCCTTTTGAATTCTCAATATTTCTGCATAGATATGACCTAAAGCATGATGTGTTCTCCACACAAGTCCTAAAACTAGATAAAGAGAACCCAATTAAACAAATGTATCAAAAGCATTATACTTGTTCATTGATTTATTGAGCAAAATTATCCAAAGCTACATATTTGTGTGTGGCAAAAGTACGTGAACCTTTGCTTTCAGTAACTGGTTTATCCCCTTTGGGCAGCAATAACTGCAAATAAATGTTTCCAGTAGCTGTTGATCAGTCCTGCTTGGCTTGGAGGAATTTTATCCCTTTTCTCCTTACAGAACAGTTTTAACTCAGGGATGTTGCTGGGCTTCCTTGCATTAACTGCCTGCTTCAGGTCCTTCACCAACATTTCTATAGGATTAAGGTCAGGAGTTTGACTTGGCCTTTCCAAATGTTAACTTTCTTCTCTTCTAACCATTCTTTGGTCATGTGATTGTGTATTTTGGGTCCTTGTCTTGCTGCATGACCCACTTTCTCTTGAGCTTCAGTTCACAGTCAGATACCCTGACATTGTCCAGTAGAATTTGCTGGCCCAATTCAGGATTCATAATTCCATCAATGATGGCAAGCTGTCCTGGTCCAGAGGCAGCAAAGCAGGCCCAAACCATGATACTGCCACCACCATGTTTCACAGATGGGATAAAGTTCTTATGCTAGAATGCAGTGTTTGCCGTTTGCCAAACTTAACATTTTTCATTCAAGCCCAAAAGTTCTATTTTGGTCTAATCCATCCACACTACATTCATCAAATAGCCTTCTGGCTTATCCACGTGGTCTTTTGCAAACCATAGATAAGCAGCATCTTTTTGGAGAGTAGTGGTTTTCTCCTTGCAATCCTGACATGCACTCCATTGTTGTTCAGTGTTCTGATAGTAGTCTCGTGAACACTGGCATTCACCAATGCAAGAGAGGCCTTTAGTTCCTTAAACTAAAGTTAAAATTCCTTAAACTCCTGGGGTTCTTTGAGATTTTATACCTTGCTTTTGGTGTGATCTTGGTTGGTCAGCCACTATTGGGAAGGGCAACAGTGGTGTTGAATTGCCTCCATTTGTATATCATCTGCTTGACAGTGGACTGGCAGAGTCCAAACACTTTGGAAATAGTTTTGTAACCTTTTCCAGCCTGGTCAACAACTGTTTTTCAGAGGTCTTTAGAAATCTCCTTTGTTTGAAATATGACAAACTTCCACATCCCTGTGTTGTGAAGATCAGACTTTGATAGTGAATATCCAGAATTCTGTTTTTTAAATAAGGCAGGATCTCCCACACTCACACCTAATTATCATCCCATTGATCAAAACACCTGACTCTAATTTCCCCTTGATATGAATTGATAATCCTAGAGGTTCACATACTTTTGCCACACACAAATGTGTGGCTTTGGATCATTTTCCTCAATAAATCAGTGAACAAGTGTAATGTTTTTTATTTAATTGGGTTCTCCTTATCTAGTATTGGGGCTTGTGTGGAGAACAGATCATGTTTTAGGTCATATTTATGCAGAAATACTGAAAATTCAAAAAGGTTCACGAACTTAAGCACCACTGTATATGCTTTGTTTTTATCTTTTTAATATTTTTTCTCTGCTACTTTTCTTTACTTTTTCCCTTGATTTTTTTTTTTTTTTTGGGTGGATGCATGTGATAGATGCACTTTCTCACTAGTAAATAACCTAGAAGAATTGCTTTAAAAATGCTTCTAATTTCTTGGCAATTGTTTTCTTTCCTTTTCCTTGTCATTAAATAAGTAAACACAGTAGCTGTAACTTTGCAATTCTAGTTTCAACATATTGATCTAGGTCAAAATTGGATAAAGCAATAGATGTATGAAGTTGGGGCTGATTGATCGTATCTTTAGTCAAAGAGAAAGCAATCTTAATTTGAACCTTAATTTGTTAAAGTATAAGAAAATCTCAAATTGTAAACACAAGGGTGCTTCTTTAGGGGGACCTATCTCCTGTGTACCTGCTGAATCAAGTATCAGGTTACATTTTTCCAATAAAACATAGATAGCTCTGTATAATCTCATTTCATTTTATGTTGATAGAAGAAAAGCAAGTTTGTAGTCACTGTTCATTTTACACTACTGGAGTCAAAAGCTGATGTGGATAGTGCAGTAAATGAAATGAAACCACTAGCATTTTCAGAATCAGTATAGGTGTGAAAAGTGGCTAGACTGGTAAGATAACCATGCCATGTATCATGAAAACATGGAGAGACACAGCACAAGGTCTGCTGGTCCTGATTTTCTGGGTCATGTATTGGGTCTCTTGAATAATATTCATAGCTTATTTTCAAATGAATTGTTAACTTGAGGATTATACCAGTTGCTATGATCACATTTTCCTTTTCTGTGTACTAGTAATACATTAAATTGCACTATGTTATATCCAAGACTTTTATTTAATACGTGTTACCTCAGAAATCACCTGTTGGGCAATAAAAAGTGCTGCTTATTTCTATACATGTTTATTCAGAAGTCCCATTGAATTCAATATAATTTATTCCCAGATAAGTAAATATAGGAGTCATCTATCAAAGGGAATGAGCAAGTTGCATTATTATCTTTTTAATATAAAATTATATCATTTTAAAATAGAAACCGTTCCATTAAAATCATACTGATATATGATATTGAATTCAGTGTGACTGAGTAAAATTGTTTCAGAACAATATATTCAGAGTGTTACAATATATTTGTTTGGAAAAATTGTTTGTTGTATATACATTAAAAATCTACCTGTCATCTGTAATTTTTATGTAAACAAAATGCTAGACCAAATTGGCATTTTGTCTGATCCACCAGAGTGGGTCTTCTGTTTTGCTATTATGTTAACATACCCAAATACCATTCTGTCATCCTGATTCCATCAAAAAGACAACAGCACTTTTAAGTTTATATACGTCAGAAATCAGAATCAGTTTGTTAGCTGATAGGAAGTTTTTAGCTGGTGTAAGTGATAGTACTTGAAGAACAAATTCCAGATCCAGTAATAACACTGAGAATAAATTGCTTAATAGTGGGTTTATATCTGTTATTAATGAACAACTACTTGAATCCTGATGCTAGCTAGAGCTGTCAGGGTCCCCACATATTCCTATTCTCACCTGCATACATATATCTCTTACAAACATAAACCAACAAATTCACTTCTTTCCATTCATGCCTCACATCTACAAATGCATACAGTTTCTTTCAATAGGATGAAAAAAGAAGCATTTTTCTTTCAGTGAAGGATCGTAACACTTCTGCATCCTTGCTACCAATGAATGATACAGGATGCATGGCAAGGTTTAGTGATAATTGACAGTCATAATGTGATATTAAAAAGCATGAACGTATATCCACAATATCTCAACTCTTGGCTTTTTATATGAGATAGCAAAACTGTAATTTTTCTATGTATATCATACCTAATAGTATTCCTGTCCATTTAAAATTAAATTTTATTCAAGTACTTAAGCACACACTTAAAATCAGTAGTATCTAATCTTAAATTGTTATTTAAGCTCAGAATCAAAGTCCACATCCTGATAATATTTATTTCTAACCTAATTCAGTTTTTTTGTGAAAGGTTATGTGCATGTGAAAAAAATCTACAGTTTTAGCTTAATTCCTTGATTTGGGGCTCAGGTGGCTTTTGCTTCATATTTTAGTGTATAGTTAACATTAGCAGTCACCCTTGTAATGATTCAATGCACACTATCACATCTATAGTGAATACCTATTCATAGTGCTCAGAATATCTAATTAATCAAGCCTGGTTTAGTTACAGTAATCAATGGAACTTAAAATGGGAAGAAATAAAGAAATCTTTTTAATAAATTTATAAAGTGCTAGAAAGTTTTTACATTATATACCTGAATTTGGAGTCAGTGTTATCATGTTTTATTTAGAAACTACATACTTTTAATGCTATTAAGGGAATACGTTCAACCAATACTTAACAGTACTGTCAACAGAATATGTGATTAAATAAATTGAATGTTGAAGACTTTTGGCTTATAGTTAACACCAGGCAATTAAAAAGAAGCACTGCTTTGGGAGTGCATAATATATATCAGCTGTATTCCTTAGCTCATTAGCTGGCGTTTTGTATGTTTATGGAGCTAACTTGCAATTAAAAGTGTCCTTACTGTATGGTTAACTGGGTATTTTAGATGTTTGGAATAAAACATTACTATTTAATTGAAACTGGTTTGTCACAATTATTCTTTCTAATACATGTCTGAAACATGGATTATATTCAGTTTTGAATAATTTAGGGTATTCAGGTTAGAGCACTGATTTCACAGGTCATTTCTATAATAACTTACTTACAAACTTAAAAACATATTATTGGTCCAGTTTAATTTTGAACTTCTCTTTAAACAGTCTTCAATTTATTTAAACTCTTGAGCAAACATCTACTATATTTTAAGCATATTGATTCCAGTGATGACTGCTTTGTCTGAAAACCCTTTTGTAGTTTTTGATAAAAATAATACATGTAAAATGTTGATATAGGAGAACTGTGTTAGTCTATAGAGGCCAAAATCAGAATGTGTCTCCCAGTACCTTTGAAGACTAGAACATTTTATTATAAGGCATAAAAAATTGGTATCCTTAAAACATGTACTTAAGATTTTCATAATTCTGATAAAAGAGGTAATATCCAAATTTCAAACTTGATTAGTTTGCATAAGTCTGTTCGTTATATATTTTAAATATATATTTTTCCATTCTTAAGCATATCAAATATGCTCTGTAACATACTTCTTTTTTGTCATAGGAGTGTGGTTGTGGCACCAAAGAAGTCAATGGGTTCATCTGCAGCTACAATTAATGTGCCCACAAATGCTGTTAGCGTGGTTTCTTCTTCGGATTCTTCACAAGCTGCAGATGTAACTGGAGGTTCTCCAAGTAAGTGAAGGAATGGAGATAAGTAGTGCAAAATAAAATAACAAAGCACTATACTATATATTTGTAATTCAACTGCTGAGATACCATATACAACCCCACTGAAAACAAAAAAAAAATTGAATTTCTTTGGCTAAGAAATACTCAGAAGGAACCTAAGCACTGATCTTTACTCTCTTTTTTAATTTCACTTTTTATTGATTATAAATTTGGCTCTTAAAATACTTTTGCACAATATAGGAAAGTAAGGATTATGTCCCCATTTTAATTGCTGATATTACTGGGAAGATTGTTACATGGGCTTCAAGTTTTAAGATGCAGAACTTTGAGCCTACCCCTCTTCTCCATATAAATAAGTTTTTAGCAATACATGTGACATGAGAATATTCATTTGTGCTCCTGGGTCTTCCTTAAGTGTATAATATGCAAATATTCTGCCTTGGACTATAAACATTTTACCTCCTAGCAGAATTTCACACTTTATAATAGAAAATGCAAAAACATCAGTAGTCACCTGTTAGTTCTCCAATACAATTGATACTGTAAACAAAGCTGAAAAGGTGTTTTTGGGGGGGTTTTGGGTTTTTTTTTTTTTTTTTTTTGGTATAAGATCTGTTCTGGTGATTTAGTGAAAAGAAGGAAAGAAATATTTTGTATGAAACCTTGGTCTTGTAGCATTAGGAAAATCTTCAGAAGTGATTCTCTAGAGATCATTTTACCTACCCATTGTTATTCTTTGTGCATTGATTATTTAAATACCTTCATTCAAATATTGAGATGAAATTCATGCAGATTTGAAATAGGAAATAATCTTGCACAGAGGCTATTTATGATATTTCCTCTACCAAACCAGATTTATGTTACAGTCCTAAACCAACAGATAACTAAAGAAAAATAAAATGCATGGAATTTTAAAATTTGTAATAAGAGAGTTAATTCACTCTTATTTTTTAAAAAAATAGCTGTTAACTTAATAATCTTTACTGATAATAATACAAAAGATAGACAGCTTCTAAAAGCTTTATTAAAAGAAGCTTCAAAATGATATTGGGATACTTCAGGTAAAGCCTGAGTTGTCACTTGTTATTACTGACATACCAAACTGTATTCAGACTTTTGGCATTATCCATTATATTTGATTGTTGCTTCTCCAGTTCAGTATTTCGTACCTACCGGGGGGCTGTATACATACAAGACACCAAGCCATGGCTTGATTAACTATGGTTAATTGAATGAGCCATATTAGGCTAGGTTTACCTAACACGCTTTGACATAACCTGTATTTTATGAGAAATATCATCCAAATCAACCCATAATGCCAAGTCAAAACCAAATAAATTGCAACTTAGAGCTCCGTGTTTCAGTAATCACAGTATAAAGATTTTTCATGAACTATTTCTTCACTGATTAAACCGGAAAACTTTGTATATGGAGTCCTTGGGGTTCTCTGACCTTGGTTGTTTTATTGCAAACGTTTTGTTACCCGGCTAGGTAACATCTTCA